ATCATCTCGATTCCATGGCATTCATTTGTCTTCATTTCTGTCACACCCCTGCCCCGTCACCCCTCCTCCAGCCAACCTCGAGCCGCAGCATTCCTCCAAAATCATGTTTTACGAAGTTTTGAGCCTTTTTCAAAAAAATGTTTTTTTGACCTTTGACCTTTGACCCTGACACAAACAAACAGACAAACAGACAAACAAACTTTTTTTTCATATGACCCTCCTTTCAGTCGAGGGAACTTTGATTTCAAAAATAATTTTCCAGAAGAGAGAATGTCTCTCTTCAGCGTTATACGTCACACTGTATACATGTATGTGTGAATGAGAAATGATTCTAACACCATCTTTTTTTCATTTCATTTGTCCTCCCATTTTCAAACATCACTCACCCGTCGGTTTAGCTATGATTCATTAATCGACTGTTACTCCTTTCGATTGCCATTCTTTATAATGGCTGTCTTCATTCACTTCTATATGAACATGGCTTCGAGTTCAGGTTGTCTTTCGATTAATTATGTAGCTCTTTGATTCAGAACATGCTTGATGAGTCGAAAGATGACGCTATCAGTGTTGAGTTCAAACATTTGTTAGTTAAGACGGGCGGAGAACAGAAAAATGACGGAAATAACAAGAGGCGTGGAGTTGGTGTTCTTGTCTAATTTCATAGATCACCACATTTTAATCTTAGACGAAACTTCATTTAATCTGATGTTAATAAGGGAATTGCATCCAATAAGTCCTGACATCAGCTTGATCTTCTTTCCATTTAAAGTTTATTTAACGAGATATGTCACAGCTTGCAAATTCAGTTTTTCAAGAATTTAAGGGATGTATACCGGTATGACTCTATACATATGTTCGTAATTGTATGAATCTTGATGGTGATTGAGTAAGAAGACAAATGAATGCCATGGAATCGAGATGATTTGGTGGATTCAACATCAGATTGCGAACCCCCAACTCGTCAACAACCGCATAAAGAAACCATGTATATAGGACAATATCGAACTCGGACGATGATCACTCTCTACATTTCGCACAGCATCTATTTCGTGTGAGATAGATAATCTTTTCTAAACAATTAGAAAGATAAAGTCAAAAGCCACAAAATATATCTTTTATTATCCTACGTCATTAGCAGGTTGCAAAACAACTGCTTCCAGCGAGACTTCAAATTTCCTTCGGCAGCATTTTAGATGTTTCTATTTATCGGAAACGTACTTTTATTTTTGCAAACACCGCTTTAAGTATCAGTTTGAACTCAGCTGTTCGCGTTTTTCATTCTCACATTTGCATGTTAATTTTTATTGCTTAACAGATCAACAGTGAAATAGGCAATGACTCTATTTCATTAATATATAGAGGCAGATGAGAAAAACTTCACTTCATACTTTTTTTTATTCATATACTTTTTCCGATGATGACCTTCCAACGTTGTTGTTCCTCAAAACGGGCGATTCCAGGACCTCTTTCTTTTATTTAGTATCCTACTAATTCTCTCCACGTAACGAAAATGAAGTCAGCAAACGTAGATCATACCAACGCTAAAAAGGTAATTTCTATGGCATTGAATCATTCGATCAACTTTTCTTTCTCCTCTCTCTGTTGACAGTTCCCTTCGAGCGGCAACGACACAGTTGAATCGTCAAACAGTCGAGTGCCACAGTTGTATCAGTTTTCTCTTTATCCAAAAGAAAATCTTAACAGAAAATTTTTGCTTAAGAACTTGGATTAATCGAAAACGAGCAATTTGGATGTTGTGCTCGATTGTAGCAGCAGGTTTGATTGTAGCAACGATTGTTGTTCCATTAAAGCTTCCAAAAACGAAGACAAAAAAGACTATTTTCCAACGAATAACAACAAAAGCTTTGTCTACATCAACAACACAAACAATAGTTTTACCAATCAAGCCAGGTATCGTTTCAGTCGAAGACAAATAAATGAGATCTAACAAACACTTCATTCGTTACGGAGTTTTTCTCGACTTAAGTAGCAATTACAAACTAAAACGAGTCAAGAATAGGAAGACCTGTGCTCAGTTAGGGTGCTTTGTTATATTCCAATTCGTTTTCATTTCAGGCGCGACATCGTCTGCGTGCACAAGTGAGGAAGATAGAAGTTTTTCCGACAACGAGTTTATCTGCTCACCGTCTTCAAAAACATTTGCGGCTGGTCTGTTGGAAGGTCAGTTCGGTGTGTATCGAACAGATGGGTATGGCAATGTCACTTCATCTTCGATTTGGCTTGCAAGTCAAAACCCAAAGCTAGGGTCCGAGCTTAAGCTTCAATCAGATGGGCATCTGGTTGTTTATGGGAAAGGAATAGCTATATGGGGTAGTAAGACTGAAAATGGTGGTCGTGGCCGTCCATTTTGCTTAGAAATAGCGGATACGGGAAATTTACAATGGATTGACGCGAAAAAAAAAGTTCTTTGGGAAACGAATACCGCTATTTCACAGGCCACTATGATTGCGAAGCTCTCAAATGAAATCTAATGAAGAAAAAAAATCAATAACTGTTGTCTGCATCGATAATAATATAACAAAAATAAAGGATTGATAAAATATCATGTGCAGATCAGTTTTTCGAAACTTTCCAGCAGGATTGATGAATTATAACATATAAAGTGAGCACGTTCCAGGTCAATCAATTCTGTACTCAGGCCCGATCCTACAGGAGTTCGACGGATCCGCAACATGAATTTTCAAGATTTTCTAAGGGTCATCATAGAATATAGCTAGAAAGATCGCTCATAAAATTTGCAATAACCGATGGAATTTTTCCAGGAATCCAATCGGATTTTGTCGGATGGTCAGATTCAGCATCCGATTTGTTGATCTGGGATTATATGTTCCATTCGATGTTCTAGTACAAATACCTTTAATGAAGCAAAAAAAGAATATTTATAAATTCGATTCCAAGGAAAAATACCATCATTCCAACAAGTATTCGACTGACAAATACGATTATCATATTGACATTCTGCGCTAGTAAAGCCAGGTAAACATTTACAAATATATCCGAAGAATGTTCGCTTATCAGTTACACAAATTCCATTATTAGAACAGGGTTTAAGAATATATCACATGAGGAAAGTGATATATGATTGAAAGAATACACGAATGTTGCCGTTGAAATTGATGATGACAAGAGCTGATCTTCGCCAAAGAAAAAAAGATATTTCATGGACAAAACTCATATTTCTATGTTAACATACCATTTGAAGTCAAAGCTTTGTTCTCATTCGTTTGTGTGTTGAATAATAATGAAATTGTTGTTCGTGTTTCAATATCTAAATGACAATTAAACTGACTCGAAAAAGCTTTAAGCACATATACTGGTCAATTTATTTCGCAGTCTGCATTCCTATTTATTTAAACTTATGCTGTTGAAAATAACATATGACTACCAATGGCGATGTCCACTGCTTTCTAAGAAATGTTTGCTTCATCAGTCACAAATATGTGATACTTCTTACTGCGCTTCCATTAGCCGATCACGATGTGTGACGAAGTTGAGAACGAACCTGTCTGTGAGACAATGATATACAGTTTATTTGGATTTTCTCATAACAAGCTTTCGCTCTTCATTTTTTTAGATCGACGTCTTTACAGAAAACAGTGAATTACGGTCAAGTATAGTAACAACTCCAGGACAGACGGGTTATAGGTTACATGCGTGCCAAAAGGCAGGCGACAACAATAAGTCCCGTTAGAGTCCGTAATGATCTATGGGATAAGGATTAGCGCGCGGAAAATCCCTCTGTCTTCCAAAACTCTTGAACATCTTTCTGCGAGTCCTGTCTTACAAAAAGAAAGGAACAGTTAGCTTAACCCATTCGAGGCGATTCAAGTATTTTAGAAAATAGCTGAAATCTATTGATTTTTACGTCTATTTATGGTCTATAAATACACCTGTTAGCTTTTTTGAAGGTATATAACCGTCTGTTTCTCTTTGTCTTGTTGTCATGAATATATGAAGTACTCGCGTTTTCATTTTATTGGATAGTTATTGAAGTTTACTATTTTTCATGCGTATTTTATGCGATAGAAGTGAGACAAAAAAAATGAAACTTCACTTTTTTTTCGCTTTATATTCTTTTCGTACCATTACTTTCGATTCTTTTCTCTTATGTGTATTAGATAGATTCATTTTTTGAGTTCACTTAGATGTTTTATGGTGAGACGTCTTTTTCTAACAAATACAGTTTACTTCATATACCACTCGTCTCTCTGTACTTGGATGAACTTCTTTATCTTCTGAATGTGTTTTCAAAGATATTATTGGGTTGGTAAGAAATTTTTTGCGTTTTTTCGAAAATTTCCTAGAACAGTCGGGAAAGTTCTAGAAGTTTCCATACTAAGGATATATATATAGGGGGTACGAATATCTTTCGGACAACAACAAAACTATGGACATGGATGTTCATCACGAATTAGAAATGAATATATCTCGTAGAGAGCTCCGACTGCTTCTGCTTCATGAATTCCGTTTGGGGCGCAAAGCAACAAGCAACATATGCAGCACGATGGGCAAGAATGTACTCTCCATCCGTACGGCGCAGAATTAGGCAAAACGTGGGAATACGGAGTTTGGATACCACATGAGTTGTCACCACATCAGCTGCAACACACAGTTGACTCTTGCATGGAATTAATGACATCCCATCGCAACTACGAATGGCTCCGCAATCTTATTACTGGTGATGAGAAGTGGGTGTTGTACATAACCTACACGCACAGACGCCAGTGGGTTAGTGCTGGTCAGACAAGCGTAGCAATGCCTAAGGCTAATCTACATCCCAAGAAGGTGATGCTGAGCGTTTGACGAGGCGTCAATGGAATTATTCACTGGGAAGTTCTTCCAAATGATTGTACTCCCACTACTGATCTATATTGTCAACAATTGGGCCGGGTAGCCGAAAAACTCAAAGGCAAGCAGGATCGAATTTACTAGTTGCATGATAATGTCCGACTCCATGTTGCAAAGTCGACTCACGAAAAATGATTGAAGCTCGGTTGGATTACCGTTTCTCATCCACCTTATTCTCTTGACTTAGCATCAACGGACTACCATTTGTTTCGCTCTCTTTCTCACCATTTGGCTCAGAAAGTTCGACGACGTCAATGACATAAAAATGGATATCGCCAACTTCTTTGGTCAAAAGTCAAAGGACTTCTAAAAACGCGGTGTCCTGTCTCAGTCAGACCGATGGCTACAAATCATAGAGAGTATAGTGGCGCATATATAACTGAAAGTTAGATGTATCGTTGAAGTTAACAAATAAAAAGAAAATTTTGGAAAAAAATACAAAAACTCTATTAACAGCTTAATATATTCCACACCGCACGAAAGAACGGATAAAATGAGTATCGTTTTCTCTCGCATTTAACCCACCATAATCGTTTCTTTTTTATCTATTATCTTGGTGTTTTGCGAGACCTGAGATTTTTTTAATGGGAAAATCCCCAAACGATGATCATTGGTACATATATAAATAAACGTGAAATGACTAAAAGATTTACATTGTTGTTTCTTTTATGTTTCATTGCTCTAATCTCAATGGCTCGTGGGTTTCTTTGGAGCAAGGGCTGTCCTCAACGAACAAGGACAACTCTAAAATGGACCATACCTTGGGGTTGCCAAGACTGCGCGATCCTCGTAGGGTAGACTGCTGTTCAGATCGACGAAGACGTGATCTACCAATGTTTTCTGATGACGTTTTTCGTGTGATGGATCAGGATGAAAACGCCCGATATTTAACTGCCCCTGTGAATGAATACTGCAAAGAGATTCACTTTAATGCAATACTGATCGTTGCGGTTGACAACAACAACAGTGCCAAAATACTCTTTTCTATCTCAATTTAATCAAGCTCTTTTGTCTCAGCATTTTCCCTAAACACTCAGTCGACCGCAAGAAAAATTTTGAAGATACACTGTGCAAGCATATTAGAGGGAATCGAAAAAAAACTCAGTTGCGTAGCTAGGAACCGGTTGCCTAAGTGGAAACGGTACCGACGCTGTTTGTATCACATGTCTGAGGGTGAGAGTGTGAGAAGAGTTACAACAATAATACAGCATGGTGACGTTGATTTTAGACGTTTTTCTTGAATTACTGTACTTAGACAAAGCCTCGTATCGTTTTTATTTACATATTGTTTATTTCTCAACATGTTTCAAAATTTAGTCGTATCTGAGAAGTTCTAATGTTGAGCTTTTGCACATTCATAATTCACTTCAATTGAGAACATGGACCGTACAAATGGTTGTAAATGAAAAAAACACATGATGACCTTTTACACGAAACATATCAAGCGAGAATGACCAATCATTCACGAGGAAATCATTGCTTTTCGGTAGGATTTCGCCGATTTTCGAGTTGATTACAAATATAACTACGCACACTCGATAAAAAATACATAACTGGATAAAGAAAAGTTTGGTGTAGTATCGTATATGGAAACTGAAAAGCTTAATACACTTTATATAGAAGCTACTTGGATGTATTAGTTGGAATATAGTTTTAAAATTGCTGATTTCCAAAACGTTTATATGACAGCTTTCACGAATATTCAAAATTTCTGAACAGGATTCTCAAGAAGCAAAATGAAAACTATACAGTTCGATAGAGCAGATGAAGCTCTATCGAACAGCATGTAAATAAAAATTTTTGCAAATTTTCATTCAGATAGCTACCGCACATCTATCTCTCATAATAATGGAAGCATCGATCATATCGCTCTTATTTGATATGAATGATTAAAAGTTGTGTCAAGTCCAATTTTGTTCAAATGTTCATGTTTTGTGGATAGGCTGAGGGATGCAATATAAGACGATCATGTCGTATTTTTTTAAGTATGAAAATCGAGAACAATAACGTATGATTTTTCTTTTAACATATTTTGTTGATAAAATAGAATATAGTGCGCTGACACTTCGATACATTTCCAGGCAACGAACTTTTAGTTAGTTCATCAGAGAAACAAAACATAGAACATCCTTTGTCATTTATACGCTCAAATTTTTAATTTTTTGTAATTATTTTATTGAAAACTAATTAAATCACCTTGATTTTGTTCCAATTCTACCGACATTTCGCAATCAATTAAATCACTATCATCTCCTTCATGATTGTTGATATCTATTGATGATGACGATGATCGTCGATTGATTATGAAAAGATGTCTAAAATAGGGAAATAAAAAACATGAATATTATTATTATCAGATAAATATATTTCATTACATATTAAGTATTAATGGAATCATTGAAAGTCCAGCAGAAATAATAAAAACAAAATATGATAAATGATTAACAGTCAATTCATAAATCCAATTAAAAAATCCATCGCCTAATATTGTACACATTGTTTCTATCATTGTAAGAATAGTAAAGATCAAATGATATTCACTGGTTGTGACAAATTTTGTTATCATTGACCATGTTAACGAATTTTGATAATCAAGAAATGGAATTATTAATAATGTTATATATAAATGCCAATGTTGTTTTGCAAAAATCAACCATATGGATAAGAAAATGAAAGAAATATGACTAAATGAACAAATAATTGAATCATTAACTGACATATAGACAAAAAATTTCATTCCACAAATACTAAATATTGCAGTGAGAATTGAACGTAAAGAATTGTAAGTTCCAATTTGTACTGATGACCAATTAAATGGTTTATTTAATAAATACCATAGAAAATTTGACCATAATGCTGAATTTGATAATAAAGAAAAAAGATAAGAAAATAAAATTAATAAAATAATTGTTAAGTTTTTCTTCGGAAATTTCATTTTTGAACAGCAAGAATTTCCAATCTGAATATCAGAATAAATTTCTATGGGTAATGATGATCTTCTTATTGACAAAGATGAAGAATGTTTAAAAAATAGAATAGCAATTAATATTGATAGAAATTGTAATAGAATTGCATAATAATACAATTCAATAAAACCTCGATGTGATATATAATATCCAACAGATAAATTTCCAATTGATGAAATACCTGCTTTGATTGCTTCAAGAACAACGAAAGAAATTGATCGATTGTCATCTTTTGTACAATCAGTAACATATAAATTTAAAACAAGATCTAAAACAGCGAAGAAAATAACAATTTTAAAGTAAAGAAAATTTTCAAAACTAAACATCTTACGACAAATTCCATCTGAACCAGCTAACGATGAAATAAAAGATGAAATATACCACCAATATTTATCTAATTGTAAATAAATAATTAATAACCAAATGACCATTTGAATTGTATCACAAAATATTGAACAGATTAAAAGACATTTTCGTCCTAATTTATTTATATATAAACCTAATAAAAATGTCATTAGTATTAATGGGAAACTGCTGAAAACATCCTTTTTAGAAACTAAATCAGCCGATTGTGCTTGTGCCCAAGCTTGTGCATCAATTCTAGTAGAATTTTCGTTTGTTTTATTGAAATTTAATAAATAATATGAATAAATATATTGACCAATTGTTGATTGTATACAATCTGTTAAACTTTGAAGACAGATTACACATCCTATGATGTAAATATTTACGTGAGCCATTTTTTATATAATTTATATGTGAACGACACGAGTACATTACATCTATCTGTTTTTTTCCTATTTTATTGAAAAAAAATGACGTCATTAAAGGAAGAGGTGAGAAATATCATGAAAACAAATTGATATTATTTTCATAGATATATTGAGAGAAAAACAAAAACTAAGGTCTATTAAAAATCTCATGAAAAAAAAAGAAAGTTAAAGTCGATAATTACGACTTTTTTGTCACTATAAATTGGTATTAAGAAAAAAGTATTTACATATTCCGATAGTCCATGAAATTCTCTATGAATTGATATATAATCGCATTAAATTATTCTATTTTTTACTGAATAATAAATTTCAAAACATTAAAGGCATTGCTATAATCAGATTTCAAATTTATTCTCAATACAAAGACGGTAAGAGTAAGAGAAATTCTACAAGATGAGATTAGATGAAGTAAAACTCTATCACGCAATAGTTTCATATAGAATTGGTATCGTTTGATGCTGAATTTAAATCAAGTAGCATCGTGAATTCAGAGATAAGAAATTTGAACCTTGTACTGATTTTACTTTTCTTTTATATCGCAAGATAAGCTAATAGTTTAGAAAATTTGTTTTGTTCTGTTAAATTTTTACTTCCTTAAAAAAACTAATCAGCGAAATATGCATACAAAATCGCGTATGAAATCAGTCTACTGTAGCCCGACATTGACCGCAACAGGACAACGAAATCCAGTGGAAATATTTATTATTCCGGTCGAAATATGTCATTACACAGAATTCATAGAAGAGAAAAAGAGCGAACATAGTAAGTAGCTTGAATATTTCATTTTTGTCACAATATTAGATTGAAAATGAATGAGAAAGAAATCATGATTAAAAAAACTGCCTTTGCGCCAGAAGTTCCTTTTTTCTTAAAAATCTTTTGACAAAATACATCGGTTTTTATATTCGCTATTTTTCCATTTCACAATTCTGCCTTGGCTATACTCTGGTATGTGTTTGTCGCATATGCTGTATGAGCAGTTGATGTTTCAATTGTTTTAGTTTCACATTGGGATTGTCTCAAACTGTATTTAAGTCAAAGAATAAAATGATTTCAAATTATTATCGTTTAAAAGACAGTAGTAACCGCCAATTAAAAGGCAGAATTGATGACTGCTGCCACATCTGTATCCAATGAATCATTCAGTAGTATAACCATAATGATATTGTTCATCTCTTTCTGTTCTTTATTCCCTCACCCCGCCCACCCTTCCGAAATGTAGCCGAACATATTCTCCAAACATGCGATCTATTTTATTATTAGATAAAATGTAAGTAATGTCATCCTCACCCTCACACACTGTGGTGTTTGATCGAATACTTTCATTGTTTCTGCATCAAATTTCATTTGAAAGATAAAAGTCAAGTAAAGTTCTTATCATCATATCTATCAAGGCTCTGCGTGAGATGGATCTGGATTATTTCACATTATATGAAGCCTTGTGATGCTACCAAATAAAATACAACACGAACGGGAAGATTTGTATTTTGCGACCCATTTTGATAGTATAATGATCCTTGTTATTGACTATAAAGAAAAATCCTTTTAGAGTAAATGTATTCGAATTCAGTGCACCTTGGTTTATTGATCGTGATCTTGTTCGGAGGATTAACTTCCATATTCGCTGACAATGTGGCTGATAAAAACCATGAAGATTGTACAGCACTCAACAATAAAGTGAAACATCTCATAACGATTGTGGAAAATCTTACCGATAGACTATCTCAATATGAACAAGAATTGAAGAATTTGAAGAATCGAATTACTGCTTTGGAAGGACACGTTGCGATTAATAACAAACAAAATAAAAGTAAATGTTAGAGAAATATTCTTCATTTGATCTATTCTATTTCAGATACTCCATTGCGTGGAAATTGCATTGCTATTCATCCAAATACTACATGGCAACACAATGGTATAATTGTGGCTGGTGGACATGGAGCAGGCAAAGAAAATCATCAACTCAATCAACCATTGGGTCTGTATGTTGATGATGATGAAACCATATATGTTGCTGAATGGTCGAACAATCGTATTATGGAATGGAAATCTGGTGCGACCAGTGGGCACGTAGTTGCCGGTGGAAATGGAGGTGGAAGTAGACTCGACCAACTGTCTAGTCCAAGAGATGTAATTATTGATAAAGAGAAAGATAGTTTCATCATTTGTGATAGAAGTAATAAAAGGATTGTTCAATGGCCTCGTCACAATGGAACAAATGGAAAAGTAATAATCTCGAATGTCCATTGTTGGAGTTTAACAATGGATGATAGTGGTTCTCTCTATGTTTCTGATGATGTAAACAGTGAAGTTCGACGATATGGAAAAGGAGAATTTCAAGTTCAAGGAATAGTAGTTGCAGGCGGAAATGGGAAAGGAAATCGTCTTGATCAACTCTCTTCTCCAACATATATATTCGTCGATCACGATTATTCTGTTTACGTGTCCGATGCGGACAATAATCGTGTGATGAAATGGATGAAAGATGCAAAACAAGGCATTGTTGTGGCTGGTGGTTTGGGAAAAGGAAATGAACTTACACAATTGAGTAATCCCGAAGGAATTGTTGTTGATCAATCTGGCAGTGTTTATGTAGCTGATATGAGAAATAATCGAATCGTGCGTTGGATGAAGGGAGCCACAAAAGCAAGTGTCATTAGTGACGAAAATAATCAAGAAAATCGAATAAACCAACTTCGTACACCTATTGGTTTGTCATTCGATCGACATGGCAATCTGTACGTCGCTGAGTTGGGAAATCATCGAGTACAAAAATTCAATATTAATTCTAAAGGTATAATAAATGTGTTCTTGAGAAAAACTAGTATTTGTCTTTCCCTTCAGTCACAATTATCTCTCTAATATTATTTAGGTGACGATGGCCTTGTCTTTGGTGGTATTTATCAATTGATTCATGTCGCCTCTGACAAGTGTTTGGATATTCATGGTGTAGACACGAATAGAGGTGCCAATGTTCAGATCTTAAAAAATCACAAAGGTAAAAATCAACTCTGGTTGATCAATATGAACGATGATGGTACTGTCAAGCTAATTAATCCATTCAGTAGAAAAGTATTAGATGTGTCTGGAGGTCACACTTCAGATGGTACCAATGTTCAAATCTGGATAGACAATGAAACAAATGCACAAAAATGGCGTCTGCAATCACTTGAAGATGGAATATATAAATTAATTCATGCATCCTCTGGTAAGGTATTGGATGTCAAAAATGATGAAACAAATGTTCGAATTTGGTCGGAAAATAATTCAACAGCTCAGAGTTGGCGACTAGTTCCGCTCGTATTATCCAAAGGTAATATATACATGAATTTTACTTGCAAATATTCGTAAATCGATTCAGATAAGTGTTCTGATTTCAACGTAAAAGAAAATTGGGATTATTGGGGAAATGATATTGATGCGCCAATAGCAAACACAACTTTTGCAGAGTGTTATGCTAAGTGTTGTAGTGACGGCAGATGTCATGCTTTCACTTGGAATCGAGTTGATCAGAAGTGTTTTCTGAAATCAAGTATCGGTAGTGGTGGCAATTCATATTCTGATGGTATTGCTGGATCCCATCTAGGTAGGAACATTTCATCATATCCTTCAATTAGATTTATATTTTACATTTAGATATCAGTAATCTTCTTGGTGTTTTTCAACAACCGCCGCACATGGAAACAAACGTTACTTATCGCGTTGAATCGAATACAAGTGAATGGCACTCCACTGGTACGTTCCTTCTCACTGTGTGTACTCTTTCTAAATACCAATCTCTTTTAGGATACTATGTAGCTCCCAATACGCTCATCAAAATCGATGTATTGGAACAGGTGGGTGCCTCTGGATGGTCAGTTCGCATCGGTTGTCACACTGATAACTTAGTTGTAAGTTTGCTACTTGGCGTAGACTTTCTATTCTGTTTACTTTTCTCGATCGTTTCAGGATCATGAGACACAACGGCGACCACCTCTGATTTCTCTGAGCAAATCATTGAGTTTGAAACGTATCCAAATGAGTTCACAGTACGGTGGCCTTCTATTTCTTGAAAGTCCAGACGCTTCTGGATGTTCAATCACTGTTTCTTTACATCATGTTATTCTAACACCAACGTATGATCTATCTAATGCACAAAGAGCAGTCGATTGGCGTCATCGACAACGTCATGCTCAAGGAACTTGGGCTGATATTGCTGGTCGTCATATAGTCTTTAATTTACCGTCTCGAAGTGTATTGAATTTGACAAAGACTCAATTGGATGCTGCACTTCAATTTTGGGATTCAGTAATATTGGCTAGTCACAATCTTCGTGGAACTAAGCCAACCCATCGAGAACGAATCGTTGCCGATATACAACCTTCAGTTGGTTACATGCGTACGTAGGTTCGATGAAAACTATTTAGAAAGCTTTTCTTTAGATTCAGGTTATCCGA